CTTCTGCTGCCTTTCATTTGTTTATGATTTGTATTTTTAATTATATTGAATTTGTGTTTTTTTAATGAAGTGAATATTTTAGGACCCCATTGTGGGTTTTGACCCCAACTTTGGGAATCACTGGGTTAGACTGTTGTCAAAATAATCAGTATCAGTATTATCCCTTTAAAATAAAAACTGTATCGGTCCATTTCTAATCTGCACATTCAGTTGGACAGACAGACATTTGAAATGCTTCCAGTGTGAACTGTGCTGCAACTGAAAGAAAAAAAGTAACAATTTTAATGAAAGGTGAATAATGAATAAAAAGTTGAAAAAAAAGAGTTTGAACTTTTCTGACTAATAGGAATCTCCTTTAACCTGAACATGGCCCCAGAAGGTTAGGAAAATACCACTATCTTGTTCCTACAACAGCCTAATGAAGCTGAAACTGGAGTTGCTGCTTCTGTTTTAGCACGATTTTTAATGCAGGATTTCAAATGAAGTATTTAAAAATTGTCCGGACAAGCACATCTTCAGCCCCTGTCGCCTTACAGTTCATTCTTCCATCCTGCCTTCCTCTTCTCCGCCCACGTTTCTCTCTTTGACTGAAGGCTTGTCCGAGGCTGCTCATATTTCAAAAGGTCCTCGGGCGAGTAAATGAGATGCCGTTCCCCTCAGCATCCTCAGCGGGAAACAGAGCCATTTGTTGAGCTTAACGCCTCGCTGCCCAGCTGGCTCAGCCCTTCAAAGCGCTGAAGACGGCACCGAGATCACAATTACGCAGTGCCAGGGAAGCCAGTCCCCCTCACAAAGCCTCATCAGTACACACTCAGCAGACGCACACACTCAGAGCATGTCACACACTCCTGAGTAAGTAGGGCAGACACGAGCAAAGCATATGCATTTAAATACATGAACACATGACTGTAGCTTGTTTTTTTTTCCTTTTTTTTTTTTCTTTTGTTTGGTCGTTGCAGCATAGAGATGCAGGTGAGTACCTGTCAACCAGAGCCTCCCCGGATTCCTACCGGTAGCTGATTGAGAAAATGGATCCCATTAGTCTTTTAAGAGGGCCTTGGTACAAACACAGAATAGGATCCAGGGTTATTGATCAACGGACAGAGATGAGGGGAAAGGGAGAGACATCATCAGCAGATGGGATCAATGGTCTGGGCTAGCAGAAAGTTTGAAAATGCAAAAGTGCTCCTCAAGACCGAGGAGGAAAGGGAGACTTTTTCTCTGCACGGAGCGTAAAATAATGAGAACTGGTGCTGCTCCCCCTTTTAATCTTAACATCTTTTAGTGGTTTTATCTGCACATTCTGATTTTTGTAAAAGCGTTTTACTGTCATCAAAACATATGGAAGTGGATTTAAAATATGAGTCGTCATTTTAATTGGGATTATCAAAGTACTTTTTGTAATACTGATATAAGCTGTTTTTGTCATGCAGAAAGTTTCAGTTCAAATGTCTTGACGTCACAGATTTATGTTTGGAGAACTTGCAACAAACTTGTTCTCTTTCAGGCTTTTCCAGGTAACAGTAACGCTGACTCTGTAGTCCAGTATAAGCTGGACCAACCGGTGGTCGCTCGCTACCTTCGCTTGATTCCGCTGGACTGGAACCCCACTGGAAGGATTGGGCTGAGACTGGAAATTTATGGCTGCAGATACAGTAAGTCTGTATTTGTTTTATTAATTTTTTTTATTTATTTACCGTTATTTAACCAGGCAAGTCCCACTGAGATCACAGATCTTTTTCAAGGGCGCCCTGGACCTGAAGGCAACCTATTGTACGTTTTGGGGGGGGGGGAGTACCCGGAGAAAACCCACACAAGCACAAAGAGAACATGCAATCTCCGCACAGAAAGACCCCAGGTTCAAATTGGGGATCGAACCCAGGACCTTCTTGCTGTGAGGCGTCGGTGCTAACCGCTGAGCCGTCGTGTTGCCGTTTTATTCTGAAGCAATGTAAACAATGACCTCTTCTCCATAAAACCAATGTGTGTTTGGGAAGGTGACACAGCTCAGACTTTTTAGCACTATTTTCTTTCTGAAAAACATTCACTGAACGTTCCCAGACACTAACCAGTGGCCGAGTTTCCATCAACTTCTTTTTATGTGTATTTTGAAGTATCGCATTAGAAAAGGTGAATGGAAACGGCAAAATTCGTAAAAACTACCTCAATTTCGCAAAAAAGTTTTTAAGCTGGCTTAAGGTGTTTTTGTTCAGAGCCCGCGAGGGGACATGGGGGATTTTTTTTCTTTTTGCGTTCCCACGCAAAAGTATTGCGTTACCTCGCAATACCTTTTGCGTTCCTTCACAAAAGTAGTTTATCACTGTTGTGCCTGCCGGTTTATTAACAAACTCACATGTTTACCATTAGCGAGTTAGCCTAGTGCTTTAATTCAGCTTCAGAATGAATATATCACACAGACACGCATGGAAGTATGTCATGTGCCGATATTTTAACACAGTGCAGCCACGCAACATCAAAGTCAATTTCACAAACTTGTGGCGAGACATCCTGTTTTGGTAACCGGATATTTCAAAATAAAAGTCTGATTTAATTCAGTTCATATACAAAACAATCTTTTACGTGGGAATGCAAAACAATTTTGCGAGGTAACACAAAAGTATTGCGAGGTAACGCAAAGATATTGTGCGGTAACGCAAAAGTATTGCGAGGTAATGCAATGGTATTGCGTGAGAACGCAAAAGAAAAAAAAAATCCATCCATGTCCCTTTGTGGGCTCTGTAGATAACATCACAAATACTAGTTGATATGACAGAAGAAGTACAATTTTCCCGATTGTAGCAACATGTACCTGAAAACTTCACTCCATTGTCCTGAGATGTGTGTCCCTGTCAGTTTGTGACTTTACTTCCTGTTTACTACAGCCATGTGTAATGTCATCGTCTGATGTAATTACACTTTGTGTAGCCTGGTTGATTCTCTCCAAGCCAGATGATGGAAATACGCTTTATGTGCATTTCTTCTTTTGCAACATTTTAAAAGTTCTCTCAAAATGCACATTAAAATTGGATGGAAGCATGGCCAGTGTTAAAAAAAATAAAAACGTGACATTGTCAAATATTTGTTGACCAGAAACTTTTCAGAAATCTACATTGTGACACTAAAATGTGGTATACATGTCTGCTTTATTATCCTTTTTTGCTTTTTTCCCCTCTTTTTTCTTCAGTGCCTAAAAATAAATTAATTTTTAAAAAATTCAACTCACTTAATTCTAAAGATTTTATTTTGTTTGAAATACAAATAAGTCTGATTGTGCAACATTAGTTTTACCAAAGCATATTTATTTTTTATTAGACCAGACTTTTTTCTTATATAAATTCAGCTGTAGAACAAAACGTAATTTAAAACTGAGAATAAAACTTCTCCCCTGTTTCCGTTTGTTTCGTAGCCTCTTATGTGGCAAGCTTTGATGGCAGCAGCAGCTTTGTCTACAGACCGAGTGTCAGAACGAGCTGGACGGCGATGGAGATCATCTCTCTGAAGTTTAAAACCCTGAAGAATTCAGGGACCCTGCTGCACGCAAAGGGACAAAGAGATCACAGCTTAAATCTGGTACTGGAGAAAGGAAAACTGCACCTTTATCACCAACAAGGTAAAATATTGACCTTCCAGACAGAAAAGTTTCTTATTAAACAGAAGTTATTATGGTTCACATTGAAAACTAGCCAAAAATGATTTTTTTTGACCTCTAAATAAAACAAAAGCACAGCGGTGAGTTTTTTTAACTGGGCTCGGGTTCCTGTGAAGTAGATCTGCTTATAAGAAAATATTGATTTCCTGTTTAGAACTTTTGCTATAGTTTGGCTAAAACTTTGAATATTAGACTCAAAGTACTTTAAAAGTTTATTTTGGTAGAATCTGTGGTTCCATCTGTGTGTGTTCTGTCATAATTCATTGTTCATAACTGAGTAAATGTCAGCTAAATGTCTAAACTGAACCACATAATTATAAACTCACTCAGCTTCCCAGGTCCCATATTCACAAATGGAATTTAATATCTGGCACATTTTGTTCCTTAAATAAGAAAAAAAATTCAAAGAGCAATACCCAAGTGGGTTCCAATCCATCTGCGTGTACGCTGTTCGTCAGATGTGATTTTGTAAAAAATATATATATATATATAAATAAAGCTCAGGAGATTTATGCTTTGTTCCCTCCTTTTTCCAGCAGGTTCACTCTGGTGGTTGTTTATTCATGTTTTTCAAGGAGTAGCTTGGAGAAAACAAATGGGATTTTGACAGGGTCTTGGTGTTTGGTACTTTTCACCAATGAAGAAGAGAAGTTGCGGTTTGATAATTATGAGCGTTGGCTTTATGTAGTGGTGGGTAGCACTAATCTAACAATTAGTTCCACTAGCCCTGAAACAATAACTCAAATATTCAGGTCCCCTAATTCTAAAGCACTAACGCACTAAAACAATTAGCAAAAGCTAATTCTAAAGCATTAAAAAAACCAGTCAACCCATGAACATTCTTCAACAGACAACATGAGTCACATGTTGTCATGTTGCTCTYTTAAGACTTATCATTGACATTCCACAGCTGTATTTGAGTTCATATATTGTCACCTGGTGGATAAGAGACACATATGAACAAAATGAGCGACAGCTTTTACCCTCAGCTGTTAACAATAAATTTGATCAATAATATTTATAGACCTCAGTGTTTCTAAATTTTGATTATAAATTTAGCAAGTGCTAATCCACTAATGATTTTTAAAATGAGCAAAAAGCTCTAAAGCACTAATCAGGAACTTAGTTCCTCTATTAGTGCTTTAGTGCTTTAGGGGAACTGTGCCCACCACTGGCTTTATGATTTAAAATGTGCCAATTCTTACTGCTTGAACACATGATCTCTGTTCCCATCTCTCATCTCTCAATACTTCATCAGTTCCAGTTATAGATTAGGGTTTTTTTTTTTTTTGTTAAAGGGGTATAAAATCAACTTTTTGAGTTTTATATCATGTTATAATGTT